TGCTCTCACTGCCAGCCCCGCGCGACGCCACCAAGGTCAGCGTTACCCCAGACGTGAGCTGGGGTGAGCAAGGCTGGGTCTGGCCCCCGGTCATCACAGTTTCCTGGAGCTTCACCGTGGGCTATTTTTGAAGTGCCCGATGTCCCGTCTGGTTGGGATTCTTGGCGCTGTAACATCCCCGCCACACACAGCACCAAACACCGACCGCTACATCGAGTGCCAGCCGTCCCCTGGGACCGCAGCTCCTGGGGTGGGCATGGAAGTGCTCGGCTTCCTCCTCCTCCCCCGTAGCTGTGAAAGAAACCTCTCGGCTTCTGTCCCATCTGCCTGCCTCCTGCCTCCCAGGAGCAGCCTGGCAGTGAGAAGGGAGGCAGCGCGCAGGCAGCGTTAGCGAGCAGCCTCCCCGACAGAATATGCCGAGGACAGGATCCCCGGCTAAATATAGAGCTGAGCTGGGAGAGAAAACAGCGTGGTGATGCGGCTCCATTGAAATTAAGAATGGAAATCTTCAGCTGCTGCTTGGTTTGTGACCCCGGGCTGCTCGCAGCGAGCACGGTGTGCCCAGAGGTCTGTCCTGCCTGCGGTACATGGCAGCGGCTGGCACAGGAGGCAGAGCGCGGCTTTTATTAGCTCTTGGCCATCGGGCAGCAGTCCACACTCCGCAAATAAACGGGTGGGCTGGGTGCGTGTCATCCCGGTTCACATGGTACAGAAATAACGCTGGACTGGAACCAGAGTTAACACAGCTGAGGTCTGGGATGCAGCTGATTTTGAGAGGGGGGATGGCAGAGCCTCGTTAGGTGAGGCCTGCCTTCGGAGGCAAACCTGATTTATAGCTCAATCCATTTCTGCTCTCGGATCTCCCTGCTTTAGTAGGTTGTTCTCCCACTTTGGTTCACGAGATGCTTGCTTTGGAACAAAGAGGCTTGGAAAAAGTCAAGGGTTAACTGAATGTTAGATTCAGTCACCTTTCCAAGACAAAAATATTACAGCAATAGTGTGATGGAAAGCAAATATTCAGCTGTGAAGGTTGCTCATGGGGGACTCAAGCACTGCACCCTGATGCTGTGGCAAAATGACCATGGCAATGCCATTGGTCCCAGGACCTCAATTAGGGCTGGCTACAGCTTTATGCTCTCACCCCTGGGTTGCTTTGCTGTTTTGTTTTTCATCCTGTCACGATTCTCTGACCTGTGAGCAGAGGCCAGGCGTCGTTACTGGAGGCATTAAAACACCGGCCCAGGCGGGCTGGCAGCGCTCAGCACGCGGCTTCCTCCTTTCAGGAGCCTGTCACCAGCAGGACACGGAGTGACTCAGGAGCCTTCCTGAAGAAAGCAAACACTGCCTGCAAACACGCGCGTGCCTGCTTATCTGCTGGGCCTCCGCGGGAGCTTTGAGCCCCAGTCCCTCTCGGTTTTATGCAGAAAATATTATTTTTTTAGGTCACCTCCCTGCCTTTCCAGCCTGAGCAGAGCAGGGGCAGGCTGGGCAGGCTCCTTCCAGGTGGGCAACTCTTAGCCTGGGATTAAAGCCCGGTTGATGCCATGTGTGTACAAAGTCATCTGTGGCCCTAAGAGTGCGCAGCTAGCTTGTAATGGGCATGTTAATAAGGCTATTAAGGTTTACAAATATTCTGCTCTTCCGTACAGTTTATAATTTAATTAATTGCAAGTTAATTGTCTTATTTTCCCCCTGTGATTGATGTCACTGAGTGGGATTAGGCAGCATCAGATGATAGGGAAAGTAGGAATGAATGCTGCGTCCTACGACGGTGCGAGAGGAGATGTTTTCATGGACAAATCCTTTCCGACATGGATGAGTACCGCAGTGAGATATCACCAGCTATCAGCTCGATACATATTGTAATGGGATCATTAGCGGCGGTACCAGCTGTGTGAGGTTTGTGTTCACAAGCCATGGGTAAGTAACAGGGAAAATATCGGCGCCTTGGAAATGTTTGCCAACTGTAAATCCTCCCCTTTCTACAGAGCCAGCGCTCGGTTTGTGTAACGTGGGCTAATACTCCACGAGGCCCACGGGACTGCTGCGGCCACCCCTGCCGTCTGTAAGGGCAGGGGAGCCCTGGCTCTGTGCTGGAGGAAGGGACCTGGCCGCTGCCTCAGAGCCACCTGAGCAAGCTGGTGGCATCGCTGCTCCTGGTGCCAGCAGCCCGAGGGGTCGCTGAGTTCCAGGTTGGCTTTTAACCCACCCTCTGTGGGGTATAAATCTGGAGGTGCTGCAGAAATACTTCAGGCGTTTTGCTTTCTCTGAGCCCTTCTGGGTGACCAGAGGCAGCCCGCTCTGGCGTGCCTTCAGCTCCCAAAGCCCGCAGTGGTGCCAAGCAAGGGGACCCGGGGTAAACGAAAACCCAGACCCAAGTGACTTTTGACCAGACTTTGATGTCATTTCAGCAGAATCAACCTGGAACAACTACAGCGGCTTTGGCGTGAGTGAGCTCAGATTGTGAAAGCGGGCTGAAGAGAAAATAACCCGTGTGTGCCTGCCCGGGTGGGCGTGCAGTGAGTTAGAGCCCCTGCATAAATCAGCACACGCGAAGTAGGTTATTTCTGAGGCTGTAATCAGAACAAGGAGTCAGCCAAACCACATCTGTCTCTTTTAATTCATTCCTTCCATTTTGGGGACTTCGCCTTCAGGAACAGCTATCAGGGATTACATAAAAGAGATTAGCTAACATTTCTGCATAAATCAAGGCCGGCGCAAGATGTTTCCTACAGGCGTTGCGAAACCCACGCCGGGCGGAGGACACGGCCACGGCCACGCTCCCCACCAAGCACAGCGATACTGCCCTGGCCCGACAGCAGCTCAGGGGCCACGGACAAAACCTTCGTGCTTCTCCAGCCAGCCTTGCAGAAAGCAGATGCAACGTGTGCATGGAGGGGAACAGCGGGCCTTGGGTCTGCGTGGTGTTTTATTTTTTTTTTTTTCCAGCAGATCTTCCAGCCAAGATACATGAGAGAAACAATGAAAGGAAGAGAGGGGCAGGGGAGCCTTACTGTAAACCAGATTTCCATGTGTGAATGCAAATCAATCTTGCTGTTAAAGAAAGAGCCGAGCCAGAACGTGTTACATCTCCGCTTTTAGCACAGTCGCTAGCAGAATGTCTTGATGTGAATGCTGTTGTGTGACTCAACAAATCTTCATGTTTGTTTCTTTTTTTTTTTTTCTCCATTTCAAGGCAGTTTCATCATTTTCCTCTGCTTTTTGCTCTGTTACCCTGAACGGTGAGGCTGTCGTGGGGTCAGGGAGTTGGAATTTTCCTTTCAGTGTTGTCTCACTGCTCATCCCCTATTTTTCCTTCCCTTTTTGCTACAGGTCAGAGCAGATCTATGCTGAGATACAGGGGAAGGCTCAGCCCTTCTCTCCCATTTGATCAGCCTTAAGTTGTTCCAGTCCCCTGACTGCAGAGCATCTGTCCCTGCCCTGTCCTTCCACCCATCATCTGCATCCGAGCTTCCCTGCGGAGCCTTCGAGCCAAAAATACCAAAAGAAGTCTCAAGTTTTTCATTCCTTCAGTTTTGAGGAACTGAATTCGAGACCCCGCAGCTGAGTTTCAACACTGCCAAATACCAGTAGCTCCCATTAGCTGCTGAGTACTCATCACTTCTCAAAGGCAGGCTCCAAGTATCTCTTACTGGCATTTATTACTCGGAGTTGTACTTGAAACCTTAGCAAGACCCAGGAAGAACTGGAAAGAGGAAGATTCACACTCCTTTCTTTCCAGGTGGGGAACTGAACTGCAGTGCAATTTAAGGTCTGATGTTAAAAAAAAAAAAAAAGCACAAAGATGCCCATCTCCTGTTGAAATACATGCCCAGGAATATATCTAGAAATAAAGCTGATTCTCTCTCTCCATCCTTTGATCTCGAGCATCTTTCAAAATCTGGCCTCCAAGTGCTATACCCAGGGATGCATGAAATCGAGCATTAAACCTTTATCTCCTCCACGTGTGCTTCTCTGCACTGTGATTCACAACACAGATCTGTTCCTCGCCCAGTCTTGGCTCAGTGATCAGCACGACTAATCCCAGGAATAAGGGTACTGGCCAGGCATCACGGGGCGGGGGGAAGATGTGGCCCCCAGAAGTATGCCCCCCCTTAAATTGCCCCATGGCGAGTGATGTCCCTGCACACACAGACACCCTCCCCTGCTCCTCCCATCCACGCTGCAGCTGGCCTTGGATTCTCCCCCAATGTGTGAAGAATGTAAAGATGTGCCCCTGATCCTTGACCTGTGTTGAGGACCACGGAGCCAGTCGTTTCTGAAACAGCACCCAGAGAGAATCCCAGACCTTTTCGTGCCAGTGGTGTAGCAGGGAGGAGAGTGCCTGGAGAGACCCAACTACCCATACAGTGAAGGGAAATCTGAAGTTTCCCCTCCGCTTTCTCGTGCATAACAGCATCTGTATGCCTCATTTCCATCTTCACAGCTCCAGCAATTTACATAATGAACATTTGCAAAGCCTCAGAGCTGGGTTCACTTTGTATCACATTTACTGTAGATGACCTTCAACATATCATCAGAAAAGTTTCCCAGGCAATTTTCCCAAAGGGTATGAATGTGAAGCATAAGACCATCAGGAGGGAAGAAAAGGGAATAAGATCAGATTTCTGAGATACCCATTATTCTAAGAGATATTTTCTCTTCTACAGCAGGAAAAAAATACTGGAGTTTAAAAAAAAAAAGGAGTTCTGGCCTTGCTTCTTTAAAACCAGTGTTGGTATAAGGCCCATCAATAAAGTAATTTAATTAGATCCGCAGAAAGAATATTTCCATAACAGAATGCATTTGAAGAAATGTTAAATTGAGGAAAAAAATATAACCAGAAAGACAATTTTACTGTTATTCCTTCATAAACAATGGCTGTAAAACGAGTTTATTCATTTTGACCACCTGATCAGAAAAAAAAAAACCAAAACTGATGGCAAATAACGGGGCAGCCAAGGCAGAGATTGAAGACCTGAGACAAATCCTGACCTCAGGGGTCAGAGCAGGGCATCAGGGTAAGAACAAGCACCTGGGGGCAGTTGTGCCTCCTGTGAAGGTGTCAGGTGTAGCCCTGATTTCTCGTAATAGGGCTGCAGTAAGCACAAGGTGATAAAGCAGGAAGAGAGGGCATAGCCTATTTTTGCCTCCGATGCCCGTCCTCAGAGCAACATCTTCTTCAGCCCCCTTGCAACTCGGGGATAATCCCTCACCTGACGGCTGCCTGTGAGTTTTCTTTTCTTTCCCTGTTTGGGCTGTCAAGCTGGTTGTCGGTCACTGAAGCAACAGAGAGTGCTCTGAAAGGAGAGGTGTGTTTTGCAACTTTATTTGTATAGGAAATTAGTAGAAAGCTGAATACAGAGATGTCCTGGTGGTGAAGGAAAGGTCTCATATCAGCTGTCCTGAGGCTCCTCAGATAAAAATGGATGTTATACACTGCCACGATAGGCCTGCTGGAAATGTCTGAGGTAGCTAAGTCTGGTGCTGTTCCCATTGCTCTAGGCCGAGCTTATAAGGACTATTGCCCTACACAATAAGCACAAGCTGTTAGGAAGAATTTTGGCCTCCTTTGTTTTAAGATAGTGCCCTGTGTGCCCTCCTTTCTGGGCAGATTTGGGCATTTACCTGCTGTAAACATGTGGCTGGCGGTAGCTTGCATTTTCTGACCTCAGATGTGTTGCAAGAAATCTGTCAGTGTATTCTGTGTGGCTCCGTATTACCAGAATGGGGGCAGTGTCATGGCACTGCCATGGGGTGATCTTTACCACCCTGTTTCCTTCAGTGCCTTTGGTCCAGCGTTATCCTGGGCCAGACACAGGTTCTCTGCAGCTCCCCTGTACGCTGTCATAAAATGGCCCCAATCTACTGTGTAGGGTTGCTGGGCCTTCCTCTCAGATTGTCAGCTTCTAGTCTGCAATCCCTGAGCAGAGGCCATCAGAGAAGCATCACACTGAATCCACGGAGAAAGGGAGAAAGTGGCAGTGTGTGCAGCTGGAGAAGCTGGTCCTTAGACTTAAGAATGCATCCTCCTTTTATCCTTTTTTTTTTTTTTTAAATACTACCATATAGTGTTTAATAATTCAATATACACATAATCCAAAATAAACACACTAATTAACCTTTGTTTTGAGAAATCTAATTAGTTAATGCATAGTCTCTGTTCAGATTCCAAACAGTTTGGAGTGGGAAAGGTGCCACGGGGAAAGCGTGACAAAATATGTTTAATGCTGAGCACCTTCAATTATTTAAGCAGAAACGTGGGCTGGACCAATTAAAAAAAAAAAAAAGAAAAAGTTGTAATGCAGGCATGTACTCGCTGAAATAACTGCATGCAGCGCTCCTAAACTCTAATCCTGCAGCAGAACGGTAAAATATGTCCACATGTAAAGCAACTGTACTGAGACGGGGGGTCTGGTGGCTTGGGAGCAGCTCTGCTGTTTGCCAGGAACCCCCAAACCTTCCTGCTGGAGCTCAGGAGGTGAGAGAGGGGAGGAAGGAACTAAAACTGGTGCTGGCAGAGGCTGCCCACCCTGGCTGGGTAAAGCTGGATGTTGAGTCCCTGTCCGCATCCCAAGGAGATGATGAATTCCCTGAAAGGTCAGATGCTGTGCTCTGACTCACTTGTACTAGTCTTCTACAGCCCAAATGCCTTCAAAATATATTACTGTGTGATAATAATTTTCCCCAAATGCTGGAGTTTTAATATTCTTCCCCAGCTGAACTGTAAATAAAATTATTTCCGAAGAGCACTTATTTGAGCTTGATTATTAAACACATTGCCAAAATCTGGTCGGTTAATATACTGGCTGCTACTTGAGCTGAAGTATCTAGAAGACAAAGAACGAAGTAAACGAAAAGGAAATCAACATTTTGCTAAATTGCATGTTTTTAAAAATCCTATAATTGAGGCTGCTACTTCATTTCCATTTGTAAAACAGATTGAGTTCCCCTTCCATCTACTAATGGATTTGGTTTATCTCTGATACTAATTGCAGCATTTGCATGGCTTGCACAGGCTGCTTGTGACAGGACGTTGAGTAAGAAAAGTCAAAGTGCTGCTGCTGCACTCTGGGGTGTCATTTAGGAGCGATACTTGGCACCGAGCTCTGCTGAACTTCAAGCCCTCGTTCTTCTTCCCGTGGCTCCAAAGTCTGGGTCAATCAACCAAGATAAACTTGTTAAGTCGCTGTCAGGATTATGCGCCTCAGGTCTCACTCGAGAAGCAGTGGGAAGGTTCAGGTGATAATAAGGCAATACCAGACAGTCTGGATGTTTAATTAAACTTGCCCATGCCCGCTTTGACCTGGTGATTGGGCTGGAAATGTCACCAGAACAAAGGTTGCTCATGAGGTTTGCACGTGTGCCTCTGCTCGGCAGGGCTCGTTGTGGAGGAGGGGTTTTGCACCATTTCTCCTCATTCTTTCACATCGCTGTCGGGAAGGGAATTGTGTCCTGAAGTTCTGGGGGGAGAGAAAACCCACTTTTTCTGAGATGAGCAAGCCTTTTCTTATAACCTGCAACAACAGCTCAGCTTACACACATCTGAATTAAGCACCATGTGCAATTCTGGGCTTTGGGTCTGGTGGTAAGCGATGAAAACACGCTGCCCGCAGCCCAGCCAGTGTTCAGCTTCAGAGCTCAGGTACAAACTGTTTTATTGCTGAGGTGGGCAGGGCAAGCAGCTTCCCAGAGCCTGTCCCCAGGAATGTGAGCTGTATCAGCACCCGCAGCAGCAAGCAAACAGAGGACTCACGGTTTGGCTCCCATTGTTCTGTTCTAAGTTTACAAACAGAAGCTTTATTATTATTTTTAAGGCGCTCGTGAAAGCAATCCGTCAGATTCCCAGGGAGTTCAGCATGGCAAAGAAAGCCCCAGCTACAGGGTTGCCTTTGTGGAGCAGGTCCGCGGGCTCGCTGCCATTCGCACAGCAGGGGAGCGGTGTAATAATGACACCAACATCTACCAGATGTCTTCTGCAGGATTTTGTTTCAAGATGCATGGCTGCTAGTTCGCAAGGACGTGTGTGGGGGTTTCTACCCTAATATACATGATTTGTTTAAAAAGTTTGCAGGTGTTAGGATTTTTTATTGAAGTCAGAGCTGAGAAATTATATACAGTCGGTGAGGTAATGCTTTCTCCTCTCAGACCGGAGCAGGGAGTACGCGCAGTCTGTATTAAATAAAGGGCAGCTGTGTTGCCAGCACAGTTTTATACATCTGAAAACTAATCCCAGCCACACCAAGCCAGCCGTCCTTTCCTGCAAATCCTTGGTGAGAGCAAGAAAATCCACCGATTGCTTGCTGCTCTCCTCCGGGAGCTTGCATGGCAGGCTCTTCCCATGGCTGGCGGTGGTGGTGGACCCCTTGCTGCACCCCTCTTTGGGCTGGCCCCACATCTGGCCAGCTGCAAGGAGCCCCGAGCCCCTGGCTCTTCCCTGCAGCTGTTAGGGTGCAGCTGGGGGGCTTGGGGTTTGGGGAGCAGGACAGCTGCTTCCTCTGTCATCACTTCATGCACGGGTTTTGTTTCTTTTCCTCTTTCTCTGGGCTCGGTTCAGCTGCTTGCTGAAGCCCCCAAAGAAGCCTGCAGAGACTTGAGATTTTTTATTATTATGATGATTTTTATATAGGTAGGTTGTAATGTCAGGATATGAGGTTGAAAGGGCAGGTCTGAGTCAACTCTCTGCTGAATTCAGAGTATTTCCTTTCTGTGTGGATGAGATCCAAGAACTTATCTCGGTTCAATAAGCCCCACTTATTTCTGATGCTCGCTTGCCTAGACTTTGAATCTGTTGCATCTGCAGAAGGGAGCTGGTCATCTGGGTTCAGCACTGCTCTCCTGAAGAGGCTGGGACATGCACAGACAGCAAGGGAAATGTTTTGGGGTGGCAGCTGAAGTGGGACATTTTATTTATATATAAATAAATGTGTTCTATGTATATAAATACTATATGTATTGTGTGCTGTGTGTGTATGCGTGTACACACAGCTACAGAGGACAAAGGTGCCGCAGTTTGGGGCCCCTCTGCCTGAGCCTGCTGCACCACACGGTGCTGCTCCCGCTGTCCTCAGTGTCCCTGGGCCCAGGCTGAACAAGTCCTGTGGGGTCTCTCAGCCACCTGAAGTAAATTTCCTCTTATTTCCCTCCAGGCTGTCTTTTCCCCTATTGCTGAATTTCACTCAGCATAATGATTTTGAGAGCACCATTTTCAATTTCCTCTACGGAGCTGAAATTAATACGAACTTTATGCCACCGCGTAGCCAAGCAGGGCTTTAAGCATCCGCCAACAGTGTGCATATTTCAAAATAATGTAATGGCTCTGAAGTCCCAGTACTGCTTAAAACCACTGCCGTAGCCCATGGTAAACACCGGCGGTGCCTGTCTGAGCTGCAGCACCAGGAATAACAACCCCGGCCCATCATGTCCCTCAGGGAGCAGCACTTTGTCACCATGAGGGGCACAAGGCCGGAGGGCACCCAGGTGCCCCTCCAAGCTGGAAGTGTCCTGTGAGCATGGGGCCTGGCAGACCCATGGCTTTGTGTGTGAGGAAGCTCCTTGTGACTCCGAATGGAGCGAGGCTTTGTGAGCTCTCCTCACATGGAGGCCCAAGCTGAAGAAGCCACCTGAGGTAGGCCTCAGGCTGCAATGCTCCCCATGCTGGAGTCGCTGGTGGGACAGGGCTTCTGCTCCACTTGGAGACTTGTTCTCCATCAGACCTCACGGCAAGGAGCTTCTCCTGCCAGGAAGGCCTTCCTCACTCTCAGAGCTTTCCTCTTTTTTCCCCCTATCTATGTAGGGCAGCTCCTCTCTCCTCATGGGGCTGGTTTCCTCAGTCCCCAGTCCTCATGGGCGAATTTTTGAGGTCAGGGATTTCAGCTGGTTTAAGACTTGGGTTTGTGCCCTTCTGCTCATGCCTCACTACTTACAAGCGAGACCACTACGTTTTGTTGTCTTCAGAGAGGTGGGAGGAACAGAGGAAAATACAAACCAAAACGCTCTGATTGCCAAGTGTGTTTTCACTGAGCCCATTCACTGCCTTGGGCTTGCGATTTTGACTGTGTTTACAGAGGAGCAGAGGGATTATAAGAAACTGTGTGTGTGAAAGTACACAATGCATTAATTACGGCGAGCGCTTTGTGATACGGTCTAACAGAGCTAATGGAGCACAAGGAAGCGGTGGAAAACGTCAGTGAGATCTGTCAGGGTGTTTGTCTTGCAGGCTGATGTGGCTGACCTCACCTCCCAGCACAGCAAGGTGCCAGGCGGTGCCTGGGGTCAGCAGGAGGATGGAGAGGAGGCATGGGGTGTGCCGAGCTGTGGGCAAGGTGTAGAAACACCGGGGTCCTTGTGGCTGCACTCTGCAGTGGGATCTGGGCTGTGTGGGTGCCGAGAGAATGACTTGAGGCTGAGGTCAGCTTGCTGTCTTGGTTTATAAGAGATTTTGCTGTGTCCCAGGGCTGCTCTGGCTTCTCATTCATGCTGGAGCTGATGGAGAGCTGTGCTTAACCAGCATTACAGCGCTGGCAGGGGCTGCTTGTCGGAGCAGGAAACCGCTCCCTTTATCCTTGCTTGCTCTCCGGGAGTGAAATATGCACAGTGCCCCTGTCAGCAGTAAGAGCCTCATATGGGGGGAAAGAAGAAATATTAACAAGCAGGCACAGATGTTTACCTTTAACTTCTCGCTTTGTGTGGACTTGGGAAACCAGGGGAGAGAGGAGGTAAGGGACAGAGGTCTGCAGTGCAGGAGAAAAAGCTCTCCGAAAGCCTGTGGAGGTTGTCAGATTGAATCTGCATTTCCCATGATATTGCTGTGGCTTTTCTTTGGCCCAGCATTATTTTTATTGTTATTTAAACCCGCCATTCCATTAAAAAGAGAAAGGTAATTGCTTTTTCTTTCTTCTGCCTGAGCTTCTCAATATGATTAAGATATGGAAAACAAATGACTGGACATAAGGATGATGTAATGGGCAGAGACAAGCCAAAGTCACTGTGGCCCAGTTTAAAAATATGGCACTCCTCCAGGATCTATTTGTTTCTTCTAATACGGTGATTTGTTTTTATATATTGCTCTCTATAATTATCATCACACTGTCTATTCACTGGCTCTACGTTCAGTGTAATATAAATCTGGAATTAGTCTATTGAAGTCAATGTCGGATACATTTGCTTTAACAGCTAAACTAGGTCTTAGTCTCATTTATTCTACTGTAGCTCCAAAACAACTCCACCGAGGCAAATACAGCTCCTCTCTCAATGAGTTTTTTCACAAAGCCCTTGTTCTGCTCCTGGGCTACACCACCCACCCTGGTGCTGAGCTGGTGTTGCAGTTGGGGATGGCCATGGTGCCAAGGCACAGCTAGGAAAAGCAACACAAGGTATGGGGCAAGACTGGCCAACAGCCATGAGCTGGAAGCCCATGCCAGAAATGGGGTGGTCGTATGGAATCACAGAACCATTAAGGTTGGAAAAGACCCCCAAGATTATCAGTCCCACCATACGTGTTCATCCCGGAGCTACGTGGCCTGTTCTGGGACCTCGACTGTTATCTGGGGGACTGGGAGCTGAGTTTGGGGTCAATGATGAGGTGGAGAGGCTCGCAGAGAAGGGCTAAGCTTGGGGAGAGCTACAGCAACTGAGGGAGAGCTGCACGAGGAGAAAAACAGGGCCGCGAGCATGGAAGGCGGCGCTGGGGAAACAGCAGGCCAGCAGCCAAACTGAGGTTGAGAAAACCTCTGTAGGCTGGAGAGCAGCCACAGCAGCTGGAAGCCATCGGAGCCGCGAGGGCCGTGGTGCAAGGTCGGCGGCGAGGAGCGGGCTCGGCCTCTGAAGGCAGGCTCCGGGGCAGGCAGAGGTGATGCGGGCTGCTGCTCTCCGCTCGATGGCCACGGTGTGACCCACCATGGGAGTCATTTCCATCCAACACAGGGAATGTAACTTTTCAGCCTCTTCCAGTTTTCATTTCTGGCAATCCGGGGAAATTCTGATGTAGCCCAGGGCAAACTTCAGCTTTTCTTTTTCCTTTCTCACAGGGAGGCTCTGCACACCTCTGGGTGCCCAAAACATGCCTCAGACTTTGCTGTGTCTTTCATAGATTTTTCCCTCAGTAGCTGTGCAATAATTGCATTTTACAGTTCTACACTGCTACTTGATAAAACAGCTGGAAAGAAGCTCTTCAGATTTTCAAATGCCATAGTTGGCCTCTAATGCTAGTTTTCAGTGGTGGTTTAACAAGTTCTTAGAAAACTGTTCAACTTCCTGCTTAGTACTAAGAAGGTAAGCAGCAGATATAACTTACCAATAACCAACCAAAACGCTTAGGGATTTTTTTAAGATGTAAATGGGAGTTTATTCTTTTTTTTTTTTTTTTTGAGATGCCACATGAATCACCTCTACCCCCAGAAGAAAGAGAAATGTTCAGCATTCTTTTCTACTAGACTTAGACTGGGGAATGTAGAGTTTTGTCTGAAAAGTTGAAATGTAAAGATTTCTGGGAAAAAACAAACAAACAAACAAAAACAACTTTCAATTCAAAGTTCATAGATTTGATTTAGAAATTTACCCAAGGGGGCCTCGGGGGGCTTTGCTGGCCTGGCCTTTTGTCCCTTGCTACCCTGTGATGTCCTCCCAAAGAGGAACAAAATGTTCCAGTCACCAAACCACTTTGGGGATGAGGTAGGGCCTGGGAGCTGGTTTTGTTAGACAAAAACACTAAGTTTCCATAGGAAAGTAAGCCTGTCTCATAAGATTTTTAGCTGGAAGAAAAAAAAAAAACATTTTGTCAGAAAACATTGTTCCCACTGGCTGAGTGCATCACTGCAGAACACGGAGAGCCTCCGTGCCCCCTCTGTGAGTGCCCCAAACCAGCAATCTCCTGCCGGCTGCTCCCCATTAACATTCACGCCGCAGCCTTTCTCCCCGCTCCTGTTCTCAGATGACATTTAAACCTGCCAGCAGTTACAACTGGTGTCATGTAGTCTTTGTAACCAATGCAAAAATTGCTCTCTTGCTTCATGATGGCCTCTAAAAACAGAAAAAAATGAGGGAAAGAGGATGGCTAAGCATGGCCGTAAATATTCTGAAATGCCTGCGTGCTGTTTTCCCTGTTGCTGGTCTGAAATCTTCTCCACTGCTTCTTCCCTGGACGTGCCTGCAGAGAAGTTGTGCTGCATCCCTAGACCAGCTGAAGGATCTCCTCTGAAATCAGTGGGGTTTGGGCAACACCTCTGCAGTCAAATTAGGAGTAGTGTAATTTAATACAGAGCAGATAAAATGCACCAAAACAGCACTTTGTGGTGGCTGAGGGGTGATGGAGCAGCGATGCTTGGCGTGCCACGAGGCCCACCAGCTCTTGAGCAAGTACCTCGTGGTTCTCCAGTGCATCCCTGGATGCTTTAATTGGCACAGCAGCAGCTCCCCTGCACGGGAGGAGTTTTCTTCACTGTGAGTCCTGAGAGCATCGTAGCCACCCTGCAACTGGTGGTAGTGCCCGGGGCCACATAATTTGCTCTGCTTTCCCACTGACCCCTCCTGATTTCCCGGATTTGTAGGTCATTAAAATCAGGGAAAACATCAGGGTTAGGCAACTTTTGGTCCTTGGACTTTGGACAAAGTGTGATTTGTGAATCTGAATGCTTTCACTGTGCGGGGAGGCTCGGGTTGTGCTGCTCAGCACTGTGGGGGCTGAGCCCAGAATGGGCAGCAGCGAGGCTCCGGGAGCTGGGTGCCGGCTCAGTGATCCCATCAGCTGGGGAAGGGGCACTGAGGGTCCAGCAGGATGCACCACTGCTGCAAACGGCAGAGAGCGAGCTTGATTTTCTTGCATCCCATTTGGCTCTGAGGAAAGGCAGCCTCTGCTTTAAGCCCTGCTTGAGATTTCTTCCATTTGTAGCTCTGGGACCTGTTTGGGGTAAATGTTCTTTAGGCAGAACAGCTGACATGTAACGGGGCTTTGACCATTCTGCATGCAACCGTTTGAGTTGCTTTCGTTTGGTACGGGCCCAAAATGTGACCGCTGGTAGAACAGCAACGTGTCCTTGTTCCTACAGCGTGGAAGGGGAGCTGGACGGTCCGCCCGCCTGTTTCCATTTACCCACGGTTAACGTAGCCAAGCCTATAGTCATCTGTTTTTGTAACGCTCACAAACAAAAACTTTGTGTTGATGTTTTGGTACCAAGCTCAAATATGGGAACAATTTTATTCTCAGTGCCAGCATTTCTGATGTGAGAACTGAAAGGCGTCCAGAAACGCTGCCTTTTCACTGAATATTCTTCGGTCCCAAGATATAGCATTTTTAAAGCATTACAGAAGCAAAAACAATTCCAGTGCCTTGAAAGCTTTTTCTACTGACTCTGCTTCACGGAAACACTGACTCAGGGCCAAATGGCTGATTGTATTGTGTGATGTAACAAGGAGTTAGAAAGCTTAGCGGAGAATTAGAATAATGCGTTGTGTGCCTGTGTGAAGTGGAGGGGGGGCACAGCATTTATTAGATTTTTTTTTTTTTTCAGCTATACGTTATTTGCTTGGAGAACTCTCGCAGGCCTCGTTGGAACAGATGGGGATTTGGAGTGTGACAAGATTTTGGCTGCCGAACTAAAGCAAAGGTTGGGATCTTCTCAGCTCCACGAAGGGCTGGAACGTCGGTGGCCTTGCTGGGGCGTGGAGGGAGCGAGCACTGCTGGTAGGGAGGAGAGGATGAGCAGCATAATGCCTCGGGCAGGGGAAGGAAGCATCTGGCCTGGCCTCTGTCGTCACACCAAGCTAAATGTTGGGGTGGATGTTGGGGTTTTGGGGCTGAGGTGGCTGGTGGCAAGGTGCAGGGCAGATTGCTTTTTGCTTGCTCTCCTGGTCCTGCCCGTGAGGAAAGTCATTAACTGCAAGCGTGAACTCTGAGATGAGTAAAAATCAAAGATGACCCAAGTGCCTGGAGGCATAAAAACAGCTACTGAATTGTTCAGCTTGTTTAATGAAATGGAGCAGCGCGCAGACACAGTTCACATACAGATGTACGGACGTGAATACAACACCAGCGGCTCTCAAACATTGCACAGAGATGGCTGCAGATCCCCAAATGGGGAAGCCTGGCTGCCGTCAGCTGTTCAGAAGAGATTTGGGGTAAAAAAAATCCCATCAGAAACCTGCCCTTGCTATAGTGCAGCACCAGCAGAATGGAAAGGAGCCCTGGGCACGCTGTGTAGCCTGTGGGTCTGGTGCATGTCAGCAAGGTGCCTGGCCTGCCAGCTCCTGGGGTCTGCCTGCAGTGCTGCTGGCCTGATCGAGCCTCCTGGTGCTATCTCGGGCTCACCGCCTGCTTTCCGCATCAGAGAGGGGTGCGAGAGACTCCTGGCACCATCCCAGGCTGCCTGACCTTTGCTGTGCTCGGCACTAATCGTCGCCTTGCCCTGAGTCACAACTTCCCGTAACATCGGAGGGAAAATCCCTGTCCCCTGCCGTACCTGCAGGACGGGCAGGGCTATGAGCCAGGTCTGCTGCAGTTTGCTCCTGCTTCCTAAATCCGTGTTTCCATACATATACATGAGACCTCTCCCCGTGCTGTCCCATCATATCTCTTCCCAACTCCAGTGGCTCCCAGGACAAGACGAAATGCCAGCACTGAACTATATTTGATGCTCATGACTGTAACACCAGGTTTGGATGCTGGTGCAGGTTCCTAGGTCCTTAATTTCCCCTTTAATTGATTTTTCTAGTGCATTTGATGAATAAATAGGTGCTCACTAGCAAGCTGAAATACCATTTGCAATCTTGGGCTTGGAACAGGGCCTTAATGTTGCCATTATTTGTGTTTACAGCAGTCCTGAGGAGCTCGGGGAGGTGGAGTACGTGCAAATGTTAAAATGGTCGGGGCCCAGAGGCGTGCAGCAGCGCCAGCCCAGGCTGTGTTCAGAGAAACAACCCGGGTGTGTGCCTGGCTGTAAGCATGAATGATCCCATTGACTTCACGTTGGCTACGGATGCGGCCGGAGCTGAATGTGCGTTGTGTTTGTGGGGAAAGATGATCCAGAAGGAGCTGGCTGCTCAGGAGGGCGGCGGGGGCTGGAATTGGTGTGGGTCTGCAGGAGGGGGAAGGCAGAAAAGGGCTGCCCTGGTGGTGGGAGCTGCCAGCGCTTCCTGGGCTCCTGCTTCAGGCAGGTGCTGCGATCCCCAGCAGCATCCTGCCCCGGCTGGTCGAGCAATTTGAGCCTCTCGGTTTACAAGTACCACGTTTGTGCGGGCAGAGTGATGCGATTACAGGTTCGCATCAATTTGTGTGAAGCTGGCAGCATCCTCAGCAAATATTTTTGTCCCTCCAGCTTCTAAATGGCATCGCTGTTAGCAGCAATGCATCACCATTAGCAGTGGGACTTCAGAGGACACGTGAGCAAAGCGTGATATTGCTTCAACCTCTGGAAGTGCGGTGTGATAATTAATCAGGCACGGGTTCATCACTTGGATTTTGGTTACACTTCTTCAGCGAGCTGTCCCCTCCGTGGCTGGGACAGCCACAAGCTCTGGCTTTGTGCCGCAGCACCAGGTAGGGAGAGGTCGGTGCCAGCCCAGAGACACCAAACATCCAGCCCAAAGCTGCAGACCCTCAGCCCTCCCTTGCCCAGACCTTGCTGATTTCTGGGTCCTGTCCCTGTGAGGGAAGCTGTGCTGGCTGCGGCGCTCCCTCCACTGCTGTGCTCATGTATTGGTAAGGGCCGGAGCTGGCAGCAGGGCAGGGCAGCAGCAGAACGCATTTGTCTTGCTGTCCGGCGAGCCACGTAACAAATAGCAATGCCAAGTGTAATCCTGCCTCGGTTAAAACTGTTGCTTTGGTTTGTCATCGTTCATTGTTCGGAATACAGCTGCTTAATGACAGGATGTGGGAAATGAAGTTTATGTCCTCGTAGGCTTTAAAATAAAAATTCCTGAACAATGGAGGGGAAGGACACGCACAGAGCCTGCCTGCGCGCTGAGCCGCAGCTCCAGAGACAGAGCTTTTGCTCTTGGCTTTAAAAATAACCTGCAGTGTAAACCCGGGCAGCATCCATGCCTCGGCTCTGCTTACAGTGCATGGCCACTGCAGCTGCCTCTGCCCCACACCTTCCTATCTGTTTGATAAGAAGAAATGGAAAATAAAAGACAAATGCCATGGACCTGCACGGGGACGCTGCTGCTTTGCACGCACCCCTTGATCAATTCGGCTAGCAAATGATCAGGAGGGGAAGGGAAGGAATTGGCCATAAAGACTGGGAGCAAGTGGGACACGGGCAGAGGAGACTTTAAGCAGGTAACAGGAGGCAGCCCCGGTTCATGGGAACACCGGGGTGCGTGGCACGAGGTCCCTGTGGGTGACAGCCAAGGCCCCCACTGACTCTGCTCTCATCCCTCTGCAAAGCCCACTTCTGGGGCAGGGGTCGTGCTGGTGCTGCTGTTGTTTTTACAATGATCTTCACTTTTGGACAGGCCATGGTGCAGGGCCCCCCTTGGCGTGCTCGCGGCTCATCCCTGGCGGTGCAGGCGGGCGCGTGATCTTTGCTCCCGGTGGGAACGCTTTCATCAGGGTGCGCGGCCCATTAGGTAAGCAAATGGGGAAGCTGAGGGTTTTGGTGGGAGATGCTTCTCATCCAGGCTTTAAACTAATTTCTGGCCTCAAATAGCAGGCGCAGCCCTTGAAGAACCACCAAGGGCTGGGATGCGGCCAACAGATCTGCATAATTGCCGGCCCATCCCATGCTTCATTCTGCCTCTAGAAATATTCTCCCTCCTCCTCTACATACGTTTATTAATCCCTGTCCTGAACTGTGTGAAATCAGTGAGGAATTTGCCTGAGGTTCCTCTCCGCCAGCACTGGCCCAGGGCTTCTCAGCAGCGTAAGCAAAATTAAAGGAGGTTCTGGGGCTGGGATGAAACCACCCTGGCTTGTCAGAGGGAGGAAGAGAGGAGTCACGGTGCTGAACTTGCTGCCCTTGGTGCAGTGAGGATGGAGGAGCTGCTGAACCTCCCAGCGGTGGATTTCCCACATCCCTGGGATTTTCCATGTCTTAAAATCTCAGCTAAATGTCCCCTTTTTAGGATTATTTGATATATTCCTACAGTCATTTTTTAACAGCAGATCGTTGCCATGCTCCTTGCCACTCTCGTGGTCCCAAAGTTGCTCTCTATTTTTTGTATCCCTTGCAAATTTCTATTTCCAACAAGCCTACTGTTATCTCACTTTTGCTATTTTAAGTTCAGTGGCACAAAAAGGCTGACTCACAGAAAGCCGTGTTGTAGGAAATATTGGCTCAGCTGAGGAAATAATTCTCAGTTCATTCTTCCACCATGTGCTTTAGGTTTTTTCTGTCCTTTTTTTTTTTTTTCCCTGTCTGTTGGTCTCATGTTATGCCACACATCTAGCTAGCACTGTGAAAGATGGAGAGCTATTTCTAATACACACAGCACTGGTCTACAAAGTCAAATGTCTCTTTCTATATATACCCTGGAGTGTTTTATGTACCTGCTAGGAATGTTACACAGAATGCTCACACAGCTCATAAAATTTGGTCTTGTATTGGAAATGTTTTGTGGAAATATGCTGCTTAATCTACTGCAGCAATTCACAGTTAATGTTGTCACAGTGCGCACTGGAGGTTGTGAATGAAGATTACGACTGGCTCAGTGGAGTTTGATACGTTATCACAAGTCCTCAAGAATAAAGCTGAAAGCTGTGGTTGTTCTAGAAAATGCAGGTAATTGGCCAAAAAAAGGGGGACAGCCAGGAGGCCCAGGCAAAGTCGTCCTTCTGGTTGGGCTTATGTTGATCCTGGGCTCTGCTGAGTACCTGCAAACCCTGCCTCAAAGCTAAGGGACTGTATAAAAGAAAGCATGAACCATGCCAGGGTGTGCTTTAACTGAGTGTTAAGCACATCAGTGAAAGATGGGGCTGAAGATCTAGGATTAAGTCACATCTCAGTAGGGTGCGAGGGGGAGGAGGTTTTTTAAAAAAAAAAAAAAAAAAAGCTACACAACCTCTATTTACTTCACAAGGACTTTCATCGCTGTAGCAAGTTGTCTAATAAACTGCAGGGTGTGCTTTAGCCCTGCCACGTAGTTCATTCATTTTAGGTGTAATCTACCAGAAAATAATGTTGAATGTCTTCTAGATACAGATATGGCAGCTATCTACAGGAAAGCAGTTGATACCAATAATATAAGAAAAACAAGGGACTTCTGGAAGTACCTATTGATAATTTTTTTCTAAATCTTTTTGACACTATCATTAGCAAAACCTAATTAGAAGGTGGTTTTCAACAATTGCTGTCCTCCGGATATTAAAATATAGCCCTCGGATAAATAATATCATCTTTAAAATACTTTGTAATAAACACTAATTTACCCTCCCAATTTTCTTGTGAGATAGATAATTATGTGTTAACAATAATATCATCATCATTAGTAGCCGCGTTAGTCCTCTCTTTTTGTAGATGGAGGCTCATGCACTGATAATAAACAGCTTGCTGAAGGCCACATGAGGAGTCTTTCAGGACTCTGATTAGAGAGCAAACAGTCCTGGCTCCCAGTCCTCTGCTCGCACGGAGAAGGAGAACAATGTTGGTATAATGAGAGAAAAGCAGGGGCTTAAATATCACCGAGAAAGAGGAATCCTCCTCAGATTGGCTTGCCAGGAAATATTAAAGTATTATGTGACAGAGATAAAGGTAAATATCTAATAGATTTTGCACCTTTTGTACTTGTACTTTTATTTAGTAATTATACCAAGTAATGCAGATAATGTTATGAATCACGATGGCACTTAAAATGCTGAATTTTTGCAACCACATCCTGGCCCCGTGAGATAATCCATTTTGATCTTGAGCTGCAGCCAGGTATGTCTTGCTTGAAACTTCACAGGAGTGTGATAGCTGCCAGCGCCGCACCCTTTTTCGTAATGTTGTTAAAATAAAACATGTTTGGATTTGCTCAGCCATTGTAGGATGCAAGATCAGAGTTCCAGCTCTGCCGTGAACGCAGCCTTGCCATGACCATGTAGTTAACAGGGCCTTCTGTAGCAATTCTGAGAGGTAAAATTTTTGCCATTTTAAGAAATGTGGTTATTTACACATTTAACTGTAAAACTGAAAAAAAAAAAAAAATAAAATCCTTTGAGAGCAATAAAAACCGCCACATAAATGCTTTGCTGTGCCCCAATCTCAGCTCAGGACCTACAGGAGCGTCGAGGCAGTGTGACCTTGTGTTATGGGGCTGCTCACAGAGCACTTGTTTTACCGCAGCCCGCCTGCTGTCACGGCACCCATCCCTCTGAGCAGCTGCTGGTAGCTTTTCAAGGCAGAAAAGGGAAATTGCTTGCATGCAATATTGGACCCATGCCAGGACCAGTGGTTTGTGCCCACCACAGCTCTGTAGGACACAGAAGTTGCCTCTTCCACACCTCGTAGCACCATGGTTCCACAGCAGCACTGAACAGGCTCTAAGCAGTGTAGCTCATGTGAAATTTCTGGAAAAAGCTGCTTCATGGACCTCGCAGTTCCTCTGCTGTGTGAATGAGAGAACATTCCCCTGGTCGGGCCCTTCCTCTGCTCTTGCCATTTACTCCAGGCAGCAGAAGTGCCTGGGATTGATGCAGGTAAGCATCAGTGAGACCTTTCTGTGATCAAATCTTCTGTCTTACAAAGATCTACAACATATTTGTGTCTGATGCATTTAAAGCAACTGAGGGAAATAAGTAATGCTTCAGTGCACTAATCACCAGCATTGCATTTTTTTACAATTTATATCAACTACTAGTCAATTTGTACACCAACTTAGTGGCATAAGATGCTCCCAGCCTGCCCTCTTCTGTGATCACTGGAAGAAGCTGCAGAAAGAATAAAACCAGTGCTTTCCGAGTGGGGAGCTTCCATTTTCTCTCCACATGCACCGTCCCTCCTCCACCCTGCCTGCCCACGGTGGGACCAGCTCAGTTCTTCTATTTAAGTCAACAGGATTTCAGTCCCACTTGTTTAAATATCAGGTTTGACTGGGGCTTGCCTGCATATCAAAGGCAATATGGTAATTTTTACGAGGGATAGGGTTTGCCCTGGTATTGGCCAGACTTGTCCCTGCTCTCCCTGTTGCACAATGAGGAGCTGAGTCACTGTCATTTCTCACCCAGTAAGTGCCTGCCTTTCACTGGTGCTGTGTTCATAAAGCACAGGGTCATAGCACACGTACTGTAACTGGGGGAGTCTTTGCATAAACAGGAGCTAAAAATGAACAAAGAACATTCCTGGTCTGCTCCTATTTATTTATGCACTGCCACACATGGGAAGTTTCATTCTGGCACCTAGGTTGCGTGGTGGACTGGGCTCGAGCCTGCTTTTCTGAAGTCAGTAGTCTAGTTCCTATTGACACACTGCTATCTCATTGAGCCTTTAGTTTCGTCCCAATCTGTGGAAGATTTATAGTTATATATTATACAGATTTAACACAATACCATGGCTTTTATTATTTGCAGGAAAATGTTAATAAAAAAACAAGTATTACAGATGCATTTTAATCCCTGAAGTGATTTTTTGAGTAGAACACATGAATTATTAATTGTTGTTATTGTTATTACTGCATTGCATACCTATCTCACAGGACATTGTGAGGATTAATTAATTCTTGTAAAGATGTAAAAGGCCATATAGGTGTCAAGGGTTATGACTAAAATGCTTTGAAAATGGAAACCACTCTGTGAGTGCCAAGTATTATTATTTATGGAGTCCAGGCAGTGTGCTTGGTGCTGTGCAAACACTGGTCCAGTTATTGCAAATATTTGCTTATATGTGCTTAGTAGGCCGAGCACTCACTGTTACAAGTAATTTAAACTATTTTAAGGATATACCTTACAAACGTGGCTGTGAGAAGACTTCCCTAAACTTGGAGTGCCAGGACCACGGAAAGTGAGCAGCCGCATTACTGAAGCACTTCAGAGGCCCATTTTTATTCAAACACGCGAATGAACCAAGACTACAGATCCAATTCAATTCTACATCCAGGAGTTTGGGTTTGGACCTGCCTTTTGGACTTCGGGAACAGAAACACGTCAGTAATTGTTGTTTAGAACTGTCTCTTCTGGCTTAATTTGCAGCCAACCCTTATGCTCAGATCATTTGCTGAACAACCCATCGTGTTCCATAACCTGTTCAGCTGCCCTGCGTCGCCCATTCTTGGAAACCTTCGAAAGTGAGAACGTCCCTCCTGCCAGGCTCTGGAAATCACCCCAGAAAGTGTGTGCCCAGCTGTATGTTTGGGCAATGGAAATGTGAAATCGTAAGCTAGATGCGGTAAGTAATGCTTTTGTGTGGCCTTGTGAGGTGTTCACTGAGCTGGGGCCTTACTCAAGGAGAAAAAAAGGAACAAAATTGAAAGGGTAAAATTATTATTTGTAGATATTATTTGTAGAGTGTACAGGGCATAAGATTTGGGTCATAATACTCTGGTAAGCACGCAACCCAGCACACAGTAACAGTAAAAGCGAAAGCCTGGCACGCTGGAGTCGTGACTGAACATTTGGTGAACAGTAGACCACGGAAACCTTCAGCCAGCTGACTTCAGCTCAGCATGTTGTTGCTGCTCGGCAGATGGATGGGAAGACAGTGTTTGTAATTTCTGTGGGCCAAACAACGTACACTTGAGGGGTTTTCCCTCCTCCGTTTCTCACACAAGCCTCCTGAGCGTCACACCTCCCATTGCTATTTCGTGGACTTTTTGCAGCCCCTCCCATATCCTTCTTCAGGGCCGGGTGTCCCACACTCCCTGACACAAGGTCCCTTATCATCTTCCCTTTTGCCTTAGGCTACGTGCATACTCCCATTCCCCCTTCCTCCTCCCACTGTTACTTCTTATCTTCTTTTAACGAGGAAGTAAGTCATTGTGAGTATCAGGAGGTTAAACTCCTTTAGAAGCATGGACAGATCTGAGATTACCCCGTAGGAAGCTGTTAATTAGTCCCTTGCTATTTCTTCCACCCCCCATTTTAAATTTCTCAACCTTCAGCAAACTCATCAGGTTTGTCTACAAATGACAACAACATCCTCTGAAATTTTTAAATTGAACTGGATATGGTCTTCAAGAATAATCGCTTATTTACAACCCATCTTTTACTTTACTATCATTGAGAAGAGAAAGGGATTTGCAGTCACAAATACGCTCCCTGGCTTTCCAGAGACTTAAATTTCCTTGTATAATTCAGTCAATTTCAAGCAAACAGACTTCAGTCAATTTCAAGCGATCAGGCTCAGGCCCTTCTCAAAATTAAACAATTTTGCAATGCAAAAAAATAATCAGTTTTCTGCAAATATTTAAATATTATTCTTTGTAAAAGAATGAAAAGCGTACGGGCCTGACCCTGAAAAAAAATGAGCACTGTGAGGGGATCCTACACCCGGAGACCCACCCATCTGCTCTCCTCAGGGTTTGGCGGAGTAGAAGGGTCCCATCTGCTTGCGCGACGAAGCTCAGGTAGGTGAAATCTGCCCACGTTGTGTTCCGCTTGGTAGGCTGGAAGTGAAATACACCCTTAACTCTAGATAGGACTAGCGTGATTCTCTGGCAATTTAGAGCTCTATTTAAAAAATAATAAAGTGCTACGTTTGTGGCCCATCTCTACACTCTGGTTTTCCAGGCACCGTGAAGGCAAGCAGCGTGGAGATGTGATGTGGGGGTTGTGTTGGGGCAGCGTCAGACCCGGCCCTATGTTTGTGGGGTGCTTGGCCCCACCAGGAGCAGCACCCGGTGCCGCAGTCGGATCCCAGCAGGGTTTGTGGTCGCTGCGAGTGCCCATGGCAGCACAGCCGCCTGGACACACACCCAAGGGCTACTGCGAGGACATTTTGAAGATGGCAAGGACCGCCCCGCCATGGATGTGGTTTAGCTCAACAAAGCCCGCTTTAAAAAAAACGAACAAACCTGCGATAGAAATGACAAATGGCTTTTATGTTCTAAAAACGAACAGCACGCGGGTAGGGCGCGTTATTATTGCGGAGGGCTTTATTTATTACATAAAATCACCGGGGTAGGTGCAGTAACCGGGCTGTAGGCATCGAGCTGCGCCATGAACACAGCCCAGAGCCATGCCAGCAGGCAAGGCCACACCGAAAGCGAAGCCTCCCCGCACGCTGCCGGCCCGGGGAGGCTGCGGGAGGAGGAGGAGGAGGAAGAGGAGGACTGGGAGGAAGAGGAGGAGGAAGAAGGGGAGGAGGAGGAGGAGGAGGAGGGGGCCGCCGACCCCCGCAGCGCAGCGGCGCGGCCAGGCCGGGGTTCGTGCGGCCGCCTCAGGCCGGCCCCGCTCCTCCTCGCCCGGCCTCCCGTGTCCCTGCCTCCCTTCCCCGCCGTCCTCCCCTTCCCTTCCCTTCCTCCCCTTCCCTCCCCGGCGGCCGCCGCTCTCCCCCCGCTGCCATTTCGGTGCGGCTGGCCACCCTCTGCCGGCGCGCAGTGTGTCTGCGAGCCGTTGGCTGCTCCGAGCCGTTTGGCTCCTTCCCTTAGTAACAGCTTTTACATTCTGCCTCAATTCCTCCTCAATCTAAATCACACACACACACACAGATATTACTTTTTTTTTTTTTTTTCCTCCTCTCTTCCTTCTCCCCTCCTTCCTCGGGACTTCATCTCTAATCCCCCCTCTTTCCCCACCCTCCCCCTCCCCCCGCTCTCTGGCTCGGGATATAATTGAATATCACAGCACTATTTGGTGCCTGCTGCTTTTTTTTTTTTTTTTTTTCCTCCTGTGCGTGTGTGTGTGTGTTATTTTTTTTTTCCTCCTCCTGGTGGACACCTCAGCTAAAAAAAAAAAAAAAAAAAAAAAGCCAAAAAAAAAAAAAAAAAGAGACTTATACATTACCCGTGCGTACACACACACACACACAGAGACATGTGCATGTAGGTCCGTATGGCTGTATAAAAAAAAAAGAAAAAAAAAAAAAAAAACAACCAACCACCAACAAAAAAAAAAAAAAAAAAACACCAAGCACCACGGGAGCGGAGACAAACAAGGGGGAATTTCTCTCGCCTCCGTGCCCGGGGGAAGCAGCCAGGCAGCCGCCACCCGCAAGGTAAGGACCGGGGCGCTCCGCCGGGCCGAGCCGGGCCGGGCCGGGCCGGGGGGCGCCGGGCGGAGGCGGCTTATGGGGAGGGAGGGGGGGGGGGGGGGGATGGGTAAAACCTCGTGGAGCTCGGCCCCCCCGCTGTTATTTTGGGGTTTCGGGGCTGTTTTGGGGAGAAGGGGGGTGCCGCTGCTGGGGGGGGTGGGGATGGGTGTGGGGGTTGTTGTGTGTGTGTTTTATTTTTTTTTATTTTTTTGCGAATTGCTCCCTTCCCCCCCCCCCTCCCCGCTCCGAGCCGCTGCCTTCCCCTCCCCCCCCCCACCCGGCTCCGTTTTAAGGGATTTCAAAGGGTAAAAAAAAAAAAAGAAAACAACAAATAAAATAAACCGAGGCATCGGCAGCGAATTAAATAAAGGAGCCATGGCGAGGCGGGCTGCTTTATAACCTATTTTTAGCCCGATTTGTGTAAAGAGGAGCCCTCCCCTCCCCCACCCGCCAGAAGTAAATATGCGCGGAGGGGGGGAGGGGAAAGGGAGGTGGTGTTTTTTTATTTAAAAAAAATAAAACGAGGGGGAAAAAAAAAAAATCAAGAGAGCGGAGCCGTGCGAGGTACCGGGGCCGGGGGCAGGGAGGGGTTGGTGTGGGGTGGCTCGGCCCGGCGGCTGTGGGGCTCCGTGGGGGCTCTGCAGGGCCTGGCCCCAACCCCGGGGCTATCACGGGCCAGGCCCGGGTCCCCCCCATCAGCAAGGGGTGTGGGGGTTAATCTCGGCCAGGTGAATTTAATCCCGGGTCTCAGAATCGCCTTGTAAGGCGGCCCCAGGGGATAAAAGCCCCCCCCCCCCCCTCCCCCCAAGCAGGAAACTTTGGGTGCGCTGCACGGCGGAGCCCTGCTGGAGCCTTGTTG